TAAGAGTGAGTGGGTGGCATTTTGATGAGGAACGGGATATGAACATAGTGTCAAAGAGAGGCGTATCTCATTTCACTTCACTCTGCTTTATTGCATTTCACAGATACTATGATTCTTTTACAGATCGAAGGTTTGTGGCAATCCTTTATTGAGCAAATCCACCGATACCATTTTTCCAATTGTATTGGCTCACTTCATGCCTCTGGGTCACCTTTTGGTAATTTCCTTAATATGTCAAAATTTTGCATTATTATTATATTTGTTGTGGTGATCTGTGATCAATGATTTTCACTTGCTGAAAGCTCAGATGATAGTTACCACTTTTTAGCAATAAAGTGTTTTTAATTAAGGTACGTACGTTGTTTTTAGACATATTGTTATTACATGCTTACTACAGTATAGTATAAACATAATTTTTACGTGCACTGGGAAACCAAAAAATTCATTTGCCTCACTTTATTTGTGATATTCCCTTTATTGAGTGGTCTGGAACTGAACCCGTAGCATCTCCAAGATAGGCCTGCACCTTCCCACAAAATACTCATTTAATACAAAGGGGAAAAGAGTAATTTTACAAAGGAAAAACCTAGCTTAATCAAGTGTTAAAAATTAATAGCAACACCTAATAGAACAAATAAAAATCTCGTATCATCCGATAGGGCACAATGAAAAGAAACCAGCTTCGCTTTCATGGCATTCCCACCAAAAATTCATGGCCAGAATCTAATTATGAGAGAATATTAGACACCCAATTTGATGGACCTTCTATTCAATAAGCAGACTTCTTAGATGTCAAGGTCATAAATGTCAAGGAAAGAACAAGAAACACTTCAAAATCACAGAGCACTGAAGAGACAAAGTAACTAAACTGGAATGCATAATCCTGGACTGGATCTTTTTGTAGTGAAAGATATTATTGGTACAATCGATGAAACTTGCATCTGAGGAGTAGATGGTAGAGTGTTAGTTTCTGATTTTCATGGTTGTTTAGTGGTTATGTAGGAGAATGTTTCTGTTCATGGGAATTAGATGCTAAAATACTCAGGGGTGATAGGGCATTGTGTCAGCCACACCCTCACATGGTTCAAGGGAAAAACAGTGTCTTCTTGAAACTTATTTTGTAAGTTTGAAATTATATATATATA